GTACCACGACCGGCCTGTCACTTGTGGAGAGTCACCATTACATGCTCATAACCGAGCTATGTGTCGCCGACCTATAACTTGGAATCAGGCGAAAGCCTGCCCACCTCGGCCGAACTATCATTGGTCGGTTCATCACGACCATCCGGTTGCGAGGCATGCCGGCCTCCAACCGGTCTACCTTCAATCTTGGTCACACGAAGCCACTTTATATCGACTGACCGATCCAAGGTGCACCGGCCTTGATCGCGCCCACTAACTTGGGCTACCTTTTAGCCTGGTCAGCGTCCACTAACCCAAGCTCTGTCCAACACGTTCAGGACGCAGCTCAGCTATGCCAGTTGATGCCTGACCGGTCAATATTTCCGACCGTGCAAGGCAGGCCGCTGGCCATATCAACAGGGATTAGCTCGGCCCTAAGCGGTCCGTCACGTCTGACGTTATCTCGGCTCGGCCGTACAGTCAGGCGCAAATCTCCCCTCACAATTGCCCCTTAAACCCATCCGAGCTATCGTGATTGGGTTTACCTCTGTGACCGAGCTAATCGATTGAATTGCGCTATTACCGAACCGAGCATCGTGGGAAAATATCTAGCACCAAGCTATCCCATTTGGCCGGCCATCGTGTCGACAGTCTTGTCAAGGGTCGTACAGCCGTACTGACAGCCGCGTTTCCAGTGCCAAGTGGCTTCACGCCATTGGGTCGTGCAGCCAGCTGTTCTGCACGCGCAGAATTCAAACAGCTGCGCCGTTTGGGTGGTTTCCCCCCTTTTTATGCACAGACCAAGGGTCATTCGAACCCTTCACTTTCATCTTCTTCCAGAGCTCAAAACCCTACCTCCCATCGCTCCAAGCCCTAGCCTCCCATCCGTTGCTGCCCCTTGCTGTGTCTGCCATTCCTGACGTTGCAGTAGAGCTCTCGAGGCCTAACTCACTTCTCATTCGTTTTCGGTAAGTCACACTACCCCTCCCTTGTATTTTTTGCTTCTGTTTTCCAGTTCTCTGCGTTTTTCTGCCATTGTGCTTCGTGTTCCCTGCCTGGGGCCTTTAAGGTTCCTCATTTTTAGTCCGATAGTGCCATACCTTAGGAAAACTGGAACTGGTGGAGTGGAGGGGGCTTTCGTGCCCCTGTTTCCCCTTAGTTTGAACGAATGAGCCTTGAGCATAGGATAAACAAGATGAACAGGATGAACACTGTTCAAAACTAAGCTAAATGCTCATTAAAATCCGTAGAGAGAGTTTAAACCGAGCAAAAATGGTTTGTGGATGCTCGCTGAGGCCGCAACTGAGCTAAATGCTTAATAAAATCGACGAACAGGTCTGACCGAGCAAAACCAAAGATAGAATCAGAGCCAAACCAGGGGGGCTAAATCAGCCGTGCTGTCCAGCCGAGATAGGGATAGACCGACGAAAAACCCATAAACATTCACCGAGCTAAAAAATCCAGCTATGCCGCGCTAACCCTTGAAACTCTTTCTTAATCAATGCAGAACAAACTAGGACCGACCAAGCCCTTCAGCGTTACTACTGGTGGAGCTCAAAGTCCGAGCAAATACACCAGCATTTTTGACCAGGATACACACTAAGCCAAATAAAATCGAGATAATGGGGAAGTACCGATTTATGGTAAGCTCGCCTGGCGCAATGGCCGAATTTTGAAGGGAGTACAACGTTCCTGATGACGTCATCTTAGAACTCGCCAAAAAAGGAGACACATCATGGGGCGACTTAGACCGGTGCCCCTTCACGGTCGTTTCCATTGTTGAAAGAGGGCTTCGCTTCCCCGTGCAACCTTTGATCTGCGAATTTTTGAGGCAGACGAGGCTTTGCCCGACCCAAGTTTCAAATAACACATACAAAATAATAAACGGCGTCGCCGAGCTGAACCGGAGGCTCGGTTTAAATCTCGGTCTTGCAGAAATTTTCCACCAATATAGCCTAAGTAGAAATAAGAGTGGGTTTTGCTGGTACCTCAAAGTCAAGAAGGGCCGAGCAAAACTCATTGAAGGTAACCCAGACAAAGAAACTAACGACGACGACTTCCTCTGGGTGTCCGGTGCTTACGAGGACACCGAGGCGCCCATACCGGGCTGGTACATTAGGAAAAATTTTGGCAGTGCTGGTAAGTAGCCCGGCTGACCGCACTATCCTCTTTCTAAATTTCATTATTATAATTTTGCACCGGTCTAACACTTCCTTTCTGCAGATAAGTACCTAGCAGCGGATTACCACCAGGCCAACCAAGAGGCCATCAGAGTCCTGCTTCGCCATCCAGTCGAGGAGAGAGAGGCATCAACACTTCTCGGTTTCGACCAAACCTACCATTACCAAGCGCCGCGCAAGAGCAGAGTCACCGACTTCCTACGTGCGCCATCCCCTGAACCAGATCCCAACTTGCCACCAATTAGACTTGTCCCCCTCACAGCCGAGCAAGAAATGACCAAGATAAGGGCGATCAAATCAATGATAACTGGAGAGGAAGGAGGGTCCCAGCCTCCAGAGGCGATCGGGGGAACATCTTCCACCCCAGCCGGGCAAACAGAAGGAGCAGTGCTTGCTCTTGCCAGCGAACAACCGGCTGGTCGATCAAAGAAAAGGACGAGGAAGGAGGTGACCGAGCAAAACCTCATTGATGAAGATTCAGCTGAGGTCGCCTTAACCGAACCGGGGGACCAGACCGAGCAACCGCTGGCCGGCAAATCCAAAGGCAAGGGCCCGGCCACCCCCCCGGTCTGGGCGCCCAAGTTCAAATACCAGGGTCGGGCAGTTTCTTCTGAGGACTCCGTCTACGCGGACAAAGATTACTTGCTTGGTTTCAATTTGACCAAGGGGTTAATCTTGCCCGCCGATATGAAAAAACATGACGAGCTCTCCGACCTCAAGGTCCTCCGCTCGGCGGCGAAATCCATAGTGCTGGTAAGTTCTCCTTTTTACTATTGTCAAACTGTTTTCTCAGTTTTTGCGCAGTTTTTCGAGTACTAACGATCTCACTGGTTTTCAGGCTGCGCAAAAGAACTACTTGGCCCACGACCGGATGATCAAAGTGCGGCAGAGCCTGCGTGATGCCATCGCGGAGAACAAGGCCCAGAGAGACGAGATAGCAAAACTCAAGGCCGCGCAAGAAGCAGTCGTGGCGGAGCGAGATACCTTGCTCCAAAAAGTCGACCGAGCTAGCGAGGAAAAACAACGAGCCGTGAAGTCGACGAAAGCTCGGTATCTCGCCGAGCTGCGGAAGCTTTGCGACGCCCATAAGGAAGAAATGGACAAAGCGGTCGGTGAGGCAGAGAACCGTGGATATGAGCAGGGGGAGAAAACCTACGAGCGCCAAGTCCAAGCGACCAAGGACATCTTTTTCCAGTGCGGCTGGAAGGCTGCCGTGGAAAAAGTTGGCCTTGGTCAGGACGCCGAAATGTTTGTGAATCCCCCTACAGCATATATCCCGGTCTATATGCAGTCCTACGCCAATGCAACCCAAAACCGGCTCATTGCGGAGGCAAGGAAGGAGGCCGAGGAAGAAGCCGCCGCCGCGCAACAGGCCGAGCAAACTACCGCCAAAGCATCTCAAGATGACGAAGTGGCTGATCGGGATGTTGCTGTGGGAGATGGAGCTGACGACAACGCCGAGGAAAACTTGCCCGAGCAGACAATTGATATGGCCGAGCTGACGGTGGAGGCAGCCGGAGAGACTGTCAATCTTGAAATGGACTGAAAATTTCCCACCTTTTTTTTTTTTTTTCCCTTTTTTTTTTTTTTTGATGTAACCGGGCCAGGCCCCACTTTTGTACTGAATCTTCTTCAATCAATGAAACTTTTGAACCTTCTGTTCGTATATATCGTCTATTTCTGTTTGGTTGGCTTGTGTATAAACGTCTCGATTTAAACGTTGATAATTCACAACTGGCAGGTCGGCTGAGCCGCGCAATATGCCAAGCTGAAATCACCCAGAATGTTTTCCAACATCTGGCAGCTTGGCTCCTTGAAAATTTAATTGAACTGACATTGTAACTTGGCCGAGCAAAATCTACTCGGTTTGAAATGTTTACAGAATCATACCTTTCCATTACATCAATGAGACCGAGCAAAAATCAGCTCGCCTAGTGAGTTGGTTAAGCTGCCAACATTTCCGTTCGGCCGAGCCAAGTCAGCTCGGCCTCGTATCGGTTGGACAAAACGCCAGCACCGAGGAATCCTGCCGAACAAAATCCGCTCATTTCCCATATTGGACAAGACACCAATATGTCGACTGGGCCGAGCAAAATCAGCTCGGTCCATACATTGGGCAAAACACCAATGTTTCAGCTAGGTTGGTCATGACGCCAACATTTAGACCGGGCGAGGGAAACCAGCTCAGCCCCAGGCTAATGCGAACTTTTCCTTACGCAAACTTTTTCTGCGGTCTGTCTTCATTCCAGGGAGATGAAATCAGACCGGTCTCATTCAGGGCGGTCGCCTTGCCCCTGGCATCCATGATTGCCTTGTGTCTTTGCGATTTCATTGTACAGAGATGTAATACCAAACAAGAGTGCTATGTTTATTACAAAAGCATTGCTATCTTTTACATCTAGTGCCTAGAGGCTAAGGGTCTGGAAAAGCTTAAACAACATAAGCAAATTACAATTCAAAAGTAAAAAACCTTAAGGTTGGCTGCATTCCAAGGTCTGGGGACAGCCTTGCCATCAAAATCTTCCAGATGGTATGCCCCTTTGCCAGCTAGACCAATCACCTTGTATGGTCCTTCCCAATTCGCACCGAGCTTTCCTTCGCCAGGGACCACCGTGTTGCCAAGTACCTTTCTCAAAACCCAGTCCCCACCTTGGAATAGCCTGGGGTGCACCGCCTTGTTGTATTTCTTGGAGAGTTCTTGTTGATAAGCTGCGATGTGGATTAGTGCCCGCTCCCTTCTTTCCTCGGCAATGTCTAATTCAAATGCCACGGCTTCATTATTCAGATCAGGCTAGAAACTTTCAGAGCGGATGGTTGGCATGCCAATTTCCAACGGGATGACTACCTCCATGCCGTAGGCCAAAGCGAATGGTGTTTCCCCGGTCGACCTTCTCGGGGTAGTGCGGTATGCCCAGAGCACGTTCGGAAGTTCCTCAGCTCATTTCCCCTTGGCTTTTTCAAGCTGCTTCTTTTTGCACTGAGCTTTCCTTCGCCAGGGACCACCGTGTTGCCAAGTACCTTTCTCAAAACCCAGTCTCCGACCTTGAATAGCCTGGGGTGCACCGCCTTGTTGTATTTCTTGGAGAGTTCTTGTTGATAAGCTGCGATGTGGATTAGTGCCCGCTCCCTTCTTTCCTCGGCAAGGTCTAATTCCAATGCCACGGCTTCATTATTCAGATTAGGCTGGAAACTTTCAGAGCGGATGGTTGGCATGCCAATTTCCAACGGGATGACTGCCTCCATACCGTAGGCCAAAACGAATGGTGTTTCCCCGGTCGACCTTCTCGGGGTAGTGCGGTATGCCCAGAGCACGTTCGGAAGTTCCTCAGCCCATTTCCCCTTGGCTTTTTCAAGCCGCTTCTTCAGCCCATCCAAGATGGTCTTGTTTGAGGCCTCTGCTTGACCGTTAGACTGAGGATAGGCCGGCGTCGAATTATAGAACTCGATCTTCAACTCTTCGCAAAATCCGTGAAAGAGCTTCCCATCGAATTGAGTGCCGTTATCTGAGACGAGGGCCCTGGGTATACCGAAGCGAGTAATGACGTTTTGCCAAACAAACTTCTTCACTTCCTTTTCCTTTATGGTCGCCAGTGGCTCGGCCTCCACCCACTTGGTGAAATAGTCGGTGGCGGCGATGAAGAATTTGCGATTGCCCGGCGCTGCTGGGAGCGGTCCAACAATATCCAATCCCCAAAGCGTGAACGGCCAAGGACTTGTGAGAGGGAGCAAATCTCTAGCCGGCTGGTGGATCTGGTGAGCGAACTTCTGACACTTCTCACACCTGCGAACATATTTCTGTGCGTCCGCCTGCATGCACGGCCACCAGTAACCTTGGGAAATTGCTTGGTACGCCAAGGACCTGCCTCCAGTATGGCTTCCACAGATGCCTTCATGTATTTCGTAGAGAAAAGTCTCCACTTTGGCGGGGTGGACACACTTCAAATACGGCCCGGTGAAGGACGTCTTATACAAGGCTCCAGATGGGGAGAGCCAAAACCACTCTGACTTTGCTCGGATTTTGTGGGCTGCCTTCTTTTCTTCCGGTAAAACTCTGTCTTTTAAGAAGGCGATGATGGGATCCATCCAGGAAGGACCCAAGTCGGTGCAGAGCACCTCGGGTGCTTCCGGTTCCTCAATGCTTGGCCGGGGTAAAAACTCTATCATCAAGGGGTTAGGAAAAGCTGTCTGGGTGGAGGCGAGCCCAGCCAATTCGTCAGCCGAGTTGTTTTCTTCACGGTTGATCTGTTCCACTCTTATCGCAGGGAACTTCTTGATTTCTTCTCGCACCAACGCTTGATACTTGGCCATTCTTTCATCTCTTGCCTCATACTCCCCTGATACCTGATTGACCACAAGCTTGGAGTCGCTGAAGACCATAAGGGCGGTGGCTTTCATTCTCAATGCGCTTCTCAAACCGGCGAGGAGGGCTTCATACTCTGCCTCGTTGTTGGACGCCGGGAATCCGAGCGTAATTGCTTGCTCAATAATCAGCCCATCTGGTGAGGTCAGCACAATTCCCAGCCCGGCCCCATGCCTGTTGGACGCTCCATCGACGAAGAGCTTCCACATCTCGCCAATGAACAGCTTCCAACAATCAGACAGGGTCTTTGGGAGCTCTCAATCAATTGTCTCTGGCCGCTCGTTCTGGTCTTTTTTCTCGTCTCCATTGGGTTCATCTTCCAACGAGCTGTCGGACTTTGCTAGTTCGGTAAACTTTGCCCTTTTCCCACGTGCGAGCCGACGTCGTTCTGTTGGCCAGAACCATGGGTTGTGCTAAATCCGCACCAACTAAATCATCGGGCAAATTGGATGCATCCCAGCGGGCAATTCCGCCACGAAGTCAGCTAGTGCTTGAGCCTTTGATTGCGGTGCGCGGTCGGAACTTGGGATGTCAATTGACCTAACTCCAGCCCATTCAAAATTCTCCCAGTGAAGTTCTGCCTTTTCAAAAAGCACTAAAGTGGGAAACTCGGTCAACACAACTATTGTATGGGCGCTGAAAATAGTGCGCCAGCTTTCTTGATGCCATCATTAAGGGCCAGCGCCAATTTTTCCAAGGGAAGATATCTCGTTTCGGCTGGGAGAAGAGTCTTGCTTACATAGAAGATTGGTAGGTGCTGGATGCCTTCAGCACGCACCAATACTGCGTTGACGGCGTGTTGGGAGACAGCCAAGTAGAGGTACAACTCTTCGCCTGGCTGAGGCGTGACCAAAATAGGGGCTGAGGAGAGATACGCTTTCAGGTCTGCTAGTGCGTGGTCGCACTCATCATCCCAGAAGAACTTGGACTTCAGAGTTTTAAAGAAGGGCCTGCAACGATCAGAAGACCAGTTGATAAATCTGTTCAGCGCGGCTGCCATCTCGGCAAGATGTTGCACGTCCTTCGTGGAGTTGGGACGCTCCAGGTTTTGTATGGCCTTGATCTGTGATGGGTCAGCTTCAATCCCTCAATTCGTGACGAGAAAACCCAAAAACTTTCCGGTGCCCACTCTGAAGGCGCACTTTGTGGCGTTCAAACGAAGCTTGTGGAGCTTAAGTATAGCGAACATTTCTGCGAGGTCGGCGAGGTGTTGAGACTTTTCCTTACTCTTTACCACCATGTCGTCGATATAGGCCTCCATTGTTCGGCCTAGAAGAGGAGCGAACATCTTCGTTACCATCCTCTGAAAGGTCGCCCCGGTGTTCTTTAGTCCGAACGGCATGACTTTGTAGCAATATAAGCCTCTGGGGGTTGTGAATGACGTGATCTCTCTGTCCGGTTTATACATTGCAATCTGGTGGTAGCCGCGATAAGCGTCCAGGAAGCTAAACCTCTGGTGGCCAGCGGTCAAGTGACCAGCTGGTCAATCTGAGGAAGGGGAAAGCTATCCTTAGGACAAGCCCGATTGACAGTCTTGTAGTCAACGCAGACTCGCCACTTGCTATTCTTCTTTGGCACAACCACCGTGTTGGATATCCACCGAGGGTACTGCACCTCCTCTATGGCCCCAGCTTCTAGCAAATTCATCACTTCTTCCGCCACCACTTCAGCATGGTGCAGGGCTGAACGGCGCGTCCTTTGAATGACTGGCCGTGCGTTGGGAAAAACATTCAACTGATGACAGATGAAGCTCGAGTCGACGCCAGGCATGTCGTAAGGCGTCCAGGCAAAGGCCTCCAAATTGGAAACCAAGAAGTTGACATAATCCGCTCGCTCGGCGCTAGACAACGATGATCCCAAGAGGAAGAACTTAGTTGGATCGTTTTCGTCAAAGTGTACTTCCACCAACTCTTCGACCGATTTTTCCTCGGCCCTCCTTCCAACGTCTTCAAGGACCTCTTTTTCCTCGGGCCCCTCGATCATTTGGACAAACCCTTTGGCTGCTCGGCTGCCATTTACCGCAACGAAGCATTGTTTTGCCATCACCTGGTCTCTCCAAACTTCCTCTATTTGCCCGTTCGACGCTGGAAAGCGCATGACTTGGTGGAAGGTCAAGGCAACCGCTTGCATGGCATGCAGCCATCCCCTGCCTAAGATCAAGTTGTAGGTGGATGGAACTTTGAGCACCCAGAACTCCACTTGCTTTACTACTGAACCCGCTTTGACCGGAAAAATAATCTTTCCGATTGGCCACTCCAGCTTGAAGCCAACCAAAGGAGACGTCGTAGGGGCCAAGTCCTTGTCTTCTAACTTCATCTATTTGAACGCGTCATAATACATGATTTCGACCGAACTCCCCTGGTCGATCAAGATTCTCTTGATATCAAAGTCCTTGACGCGAAGAGTGACTACTAAGGCATCATTGTGCGGCATCTGAACTTTTTCCAAGTCCTTGGTTAAGAATGAAAGGATGTCCCTTTCTTCGTTCTTTCCTTTCTTCACAGTGGGCTGAACAGAGAGCACTTCCCTCATGTGCTCGGCCTTCTTGATCATCCCCCTCAGCTCGCAAACCCTGGCCGGTTCAATGATTCTGTGGATGACGTTGATTACACCTTGCGGAGGCGCTTCTAAGGCGGCCAGGCCGTTTGGCTCGACTTGGTCTGCTGGCATGGCCTTGATGCCCCCATCTATGTATTGGTCAAGATGCCCCGCCGCCACCAACTCCTCTAAGTGTTGCTTGAGCGGCAGGCAGTCCTCTGTTCGGTGCCCCCGTTCTTCATGAAAGGTGCAACGATATTTTGAATTGAAGCCTCTCTGGGCACTCCCCAACTTGGCCAGCCAACGGACGAAGGGTTCGCTTCGAATCTCGCTCAAAATGCAGTAGATGGAGATTTTAAACACCGTGGTGATCCCAGTCCGTGCCTTCAATTTTCTTTTGACGTCTTCCGCTGCATCACGGGGTGGGTCCGCCCGGTCGTTTCGGCGGCTTTTGTTTCTGTCATCACGGTTTGGACCATAGCGCTGGTCCTTCGACTAGTTATTTGGGCGGCTATCCTCCTACCCAACCGAGTGAACCTTCCCTGCAACCCTCCTGTCCGCTGCGACCGGATTAGCCTTCTCGATCGCGGAGGCGGTATCATCCTCCACACGAATGTGCTCATTGATCCGCTACATCAATGACTCCATGGTTGTAGGTTGATGCATCGTGAGTGAATCTCGCAGCCTATGTCCGACTGGGAGACCCCGTTTGTACTGAGTGATCGCCAGATTGGTGGGGCAGTCGAGGATCTCATTGTAAGTTTCCCAGTACTTGGCATTGTATGCCTTCAACGAACATCCAGACTCCATCTTGACACCCAGGAGATGGTCGACCTCCTTCGGCGTTCGAGTGTTGGTCTTGAATCTGGTGACGAAGGCTTCTGCTAGCTGTTGCCACCCCTCTATACTCCCCTCCGGGAGCCTTTCAAACCACTTCAGACCCAGCTCTCCCAAGCTTGCTGGGAATATGAGGCACAT